ACGGTGTTGTTTCTCCTTCAATCTACCACGAGATGGGATGGCATGCCCCCCGAGCGGCTTAGACTGAACAACATTGTAAAATTTTTCATCTTTCAAGATATCACAGTTGTTCTTCCTAATTTTCTGAAACTTATTATAAACACGTTTAAATTTTGTTCTTTGTTGTGGCTTTCGCAAGACCGCACTAACTTTCCTGTCCTTCAAAACAATAGTGTTCACAGGAGAACCAACATGAGATTTGTTGGCCCCTAACGCCACTGTTTTAGCCACAAGTTTAAGTGAATCCTTATTGGCAATACCGGAAACATGTTCATCTATCATCTCAAAAAATTTATCCATATGTCTTCCAAGAGAATCACAAGGCTTATTTAAAGAGATAAAATAGAGATTTACCTGCCGATAATATTCCTCTACAGATCGACGAAGAGATAGGAGTGCAGCATGCCCATCAGTGCTCGACATGGATTGGGGCCACTCCTTCATCACCCCGATATGTCTATCCGCCTCATATGCTCCGCCAACTTCAATGTCGGCCACACGCTCCACCTTCACATATTCTTGTGGAAGATCAACGTTGTGTTTTCCATGCCGCAAAGCCATATTTCACTTCAAACACACGTATCCCACCGGGCGTGCCAAATTGTTTCCTGCGAAAATCAAATACCATGGGCGGTGCCGAATTCGTTTCCGGCGGTGTTGATTTAATGTTTCGCGGTGGAAACTCTTGTGGTGCCGTTTGATGGAATGCACCGCTGATTGCTGAAATGGAGACGACCGTCAAATATCCACCGCCTGGAAATGTTGATTTGATAGGCGCAACTCTGACTTTTGAAAACGATGACGATCGTCAAATATCCACCGCCAGGCGATGTTGATTTGATCGATCCACCTTTGACTTCTAACCAAGACGACCATTACTACGGTTCGCACCTCTCCAAACTACGTTCAAACGAGGGTGTTTGAGTTTTGGGGAATCTACGTTAGCTTTACTCCTATGGAGATTCCTGTGGAGAGCTCCGCGACTACGACTACTGCTACGACTATGGAGATCCTTCCTGGAAGGAGAGCTCCGCGAGGGAGTTACAAAGAAAAAGATAAGTTTGACAGAGTTGTTCTGTGTTGATTTCGTTGTCCCGTAGCTTCTCTCTCTTCAAAATCTTTATACTTGGCTCTTCTCCCTGTAGTTGTAGTAACTTCCTTCGCGCCTTTGTCTCCCACGTCTTCGTTCCTGTCAACCATGCAGGTAACCTCCTCCTTGTTGCGTGATAATCACGTGCCCCGGAAACCGTTCCGCTACGCAGAAACTTGGCAAACTACGTTGAGCCAAATCCTACAACCTTGTCCAGGCAACGATGTCGTTTCACCTCCATAACTTGAGCGAATCAACCTCCTTCATTCATAACGTCATTCTCATCAATACAGCGGCATCGCTTTTCACTAATCGATGTCGTTTTATAATCACACCTCATTCGCCTCGTCCCGATTTGACCAACAACATCGTTAGCCCATCATACAACGTTGTTTTCTAGTCTTGCGCTGTCGTTGGGCTTGGCGAACCGCCTTTGGCCGAACTCTTACCCACGGCCGCAGTGTCGTTTTCTCTTTGCGGTGACACTGTTTGTTTTTTTACTCCGCGACACTGTTTTAAATAAAACACTGTCGTTTTCACTACCGCGGTATCGTTGGACTCACTCGCGGTGTCGTTCTTACTAAAAGGACACCGTCCAAAATAATCTTTAAAATATTAAATAATTAAACTGACCATCATTGTTGACACGCCGTCAAACTCTCACTTTGCGACGCTGTTGATGCCTTAAGTGGTGTCGTTTTCTTCCCCAATGTTTGTTTTTTCATCCGCGACTCTGTTTATTTTCAACACTGTCGTTTGCTAGTACATCGGCACCGTTGGGCCTACTTGCGGTACCCTTTTGAATTAAACCACGCCGCCTAAAGAAATACCAACGTATCAAATTGCCGCGATTTTGCACGTTTGGCCTGGGCGGATTTTTGGGCCAATCACTTATCCGCGGTTTTTTAATTAATCGGCACCGCTTATCAAGGCCACTTGCGGTATCTTTTTTTAAATCCGAGGTACCGTTTTAATTCTCCGTGATGCCGCTTGACTCCATGCGGTATCGTTTCTCCCCATCCGACGAGGAATAAAAATAATAATTAATTAAAAAAACTCCTTTTCCAAAACCACTACTAAACGCGCGGCCCACATCTTATTTATCGGTGTCGTTTCTTGTACCGCGGTATCGCTGAGCTTCCTTGCGGTATCGTTTTAACTCTCCGTGATGCCGCTCGACTCCAAACGACACCGTTTTTACCCGCCATATCGAATTAAATGCCGAGACTAATTAATGCGGCATTTAATTCCGGCCAAATTAATTTTAGGTGTCAACAATGTTAAAACAAATTCAATCTAGTAATTTAATGTTAGGATTACCTTTCGATCGAGTACAATCATCTATATTGAATTGGCGATAGAGTACCATTTACATGGTAGGTTTATAGCTAGATGTATCATAACTAGGGGTGTCAGTCGGTCGGTTTCGGTTTAACCGAAAACCGAATTCTCGGTTAATGGTTAAACCGAGCGACCACCCCGGCTACCGACCACCGACCGCGGGAGATGCACCGGTTAGCCGACCACCGACCGGTCGGTTGGCCGGTTTTGGTTCGGTTAGCCCCAAACCCGAAACCACACCCTAATGTAAAAAAAAATAAAAATAAAAAAAAATAAATCCAAAAATCCCCCACCACTCATTCTTTATCTCCTCAATCCTTCTCTCTCCTTCAACTTTTCCATTCAAACCCTCCACCACCAGATTCTCTCCTCCGTCTCTCTCCTCCATCTTTCTATCTCCTTTCTTTTTCCACTCAAAAGAAGCAGCCGAGGGCTTGCCGCCGACGGGAGAGGGAGGAGCGCCTCGCGAAGCCGGCGAAGGGAGACGGCGTTCGCGGCGGCGGTTGGAGACGGCAGGCAGCGCGGCGGCGTTCGCGCGGCGGCGGTTGGAGACGGCAGGCGGCGCGGCGGGTGGAGGCTGCCTGCTTGCTTGCATGTCGTGACGGTTGGAGGCGGAGGAGACGGCGGGGTGACGTCGACGATGGTGGAGGCGGCGGTCGTGAGGCGGCGGTGGTCGTGAGTCGGAGGGAGAAGGAGGGCGGCGGTGGTCATCTTCTTTCTTCTTTCTTCTTTCTTCTTCTTCTCGGTTTTCATTTTGAGAGGTTGAAAGGGAAGAGAAGAGAGAGAGGATAACAGAAGAGAAGGGAGGGGTCACGGGTGCTTAGGGTTTGGGGGGTCGTTTTTGAGGGGGTCGTTTTTGAGGGGGGGTCGTTTTTGAGGGGGGCCGGGTCGTTTAGGTTAGGCTGGGTAAATGCTCGGTTAGTCGGCTAACCGTCGGTTTTCAACCTCGGTTGGTCGGCTAGCCGAGCCTTCTCCCCTCGCTACCGACAACCGACCAACGCCATTGGGATCGGTTTTTCGGCTAGCCGAAAACCGGACGGTTCGGTTGAAACCGTCCGGTTAGCCGCTAACCGGAAAACCGTCCGCCACCCCTAATCATAACAACTAAATAGTTTGTTGGGTAAAGTAAAGCATCTCGAGTAATAATATTATGGCTTAACTTGTTCACAAGAGACTTTTTTATTGTCTTGAACAAGTCCTCTGAGAAAGTCATTTCCTTCTGCTAATAGTGAATGTACATATTTTGTTGCAAAACACTATGAGCCACAACAGGCAGAAGCCGTTATAGGTATATATGATGATCTTGGCTTTTTATTCCCAATACTTTAGAATCATCAGCAACAACAGATCGAGAAATACTTCATGCATAAAAGTTGCGAATATAATATATTTCTTCCATTCACACAGTTTGTAGCTATTAGAGAATTAGTTAATAGAAATATCCCAATTTTTGGAGGAGGCTGAATATTGGGCCATGATCCTCACTACTTGTGAACTTTTATAACTGCAACATATCCTAGTGTATCGCGTGTGACGATCAACGCAGAGTACTTAGAACCAAAGAGCAGGTTGTTGCGAGCCATAGAGCAACTTCCCGATAGTACTGGGACTCTTGAGATAAGCTAAGACAGACTTAAGCTAGGTGGTAATCCACTGTTGAATAACTACAATAGTCGCGCTCAGGACATGTAACGTGCTTAGCTTGTTTTACAATTACACGGTTCTGCAGGTATTCCCTAACCTAATACCCGCTACTAAGGCTTTAGTGAAAATAGCTAAATCGCCAGTATAACAGATCTACGAATAGCCAACGCATCTAAATTTCAGGGTAGTTGGTGAGACAAAGGAAAAGTAGCGATACGCGTTGTAGACGAACGACATGTAGCGGTAGGCAAAGGCCAAGAAGTGTCGGGGAGTCAGTTCGTAGTCTACCTGAGAGGTGTTAGCGTCCATGCAAGGAAGCAATCCAGGGCTGAAAACTTTTTTTTTTTTTAGTCACGATCAGAATGAAAGGTAGTTCGCTTTTTCTCCCAGAGATGCTGGCCCCTATCTGATCAGATATGTTTTGAATTCCATGTGGCTAAATTTATCAATGAGACCAAGACAATGACTTTTCTTCACTTTCCCGGGAATGAATGCTGTTATAGATGGGGAACGCTTCTAATGAAGGAAATAGTTCTCCTCTTTCTCATTTCGTTTTGTATTCATTATAGTATGTCAGCTATTAGAATTCTAGAAAATATAGTTCACCATTGGGGATATGAAGCATATCTAGATCAACATACACACTACTATAGGTTAGGTTCTTGCAGGCGTTATCATGCTACTACATTTTTCTTTAAAAAAATCACATGGCAGACATTCTAACAAACCCATTACTATCTTTTCCCTTCAAATTGGAAAGACAATAGGAGCTCAGGGATAAAGAAGAAAGTAAGAGAAGTTCAGTAATTCACTGAAAGAGGTAAAAAGAAATTTGAGAGAACGTAACACACATCAAACTTAGATTCAAGAGGTTGGCATAGGTAATTTATGACCCTAAATTTGGTTTTGGATGGGTTCTCCAGTATTCATCTTCCCAAGCTTCAACTCTCTTAATTGACTTGTCGTTCCCATCCCAAAAGTCTCGAAGCTCGTTGGGATCAAAGGCAGGTGGCAAGTTGCAAGGAACGGAATCAGAAGGAGACCTCACCAGCGACTCCATCATGAACTTCTTGTACGTCCCATTTTGGTGGCACGCCATTGTTTCAGGGGACACCTCCACGGCCCCCGGCGGCACCGTTGGCTTAAACCTCAACAACTTGGCATATTCAGTCAGCAGATGAAACATGTAGTCGTACACAAACTCCATCTTCATCTCCTCGAACACGTACCTGCTCCCTGCTTCCCCGATACCTTGTGCCTGTTGTGCATTATATAATAACAATATGGTTAAACCTCCATGAACACAATCTTTTTTCTCCTTTAAACCCTTGAACTTGGTTTCGAATAATGCCAATAATTTTAGCTAGGATCCAATTACAATTGATCGATCGATCGAGAAAGAAAGAAAAGTCATGGTGACTACTGACTGACCTCTTCACTATGGTTATTGCCCCACTCTACGGCGTATTTAAGAGAAGAACACTTGGTGTTGTCACGAATAGGCCAATAGTGCTGCAATGGGGACATCCCTCTACTGAAGAAATCATGGTATGCTGATCTCACATACAAAACCATGGAGTTGCATGCCAATATGTATTTCTCGCTCACGGACCAAGCCCATCCTTGTATATATATTTTGAACCTAGCTAGGCTGAATTAATTAGAAACATTTCCTTGGATCAAAGTTATAAGATAATATGAATATATGTTTTAATTACTTGTGGGTACACTGTTCTTCAAGTCTTGACTGCTTGGGGCCCTCTTTGAATTCTGCCTTCCAGTCCTGAACATTATTTAATCTAAAAGTATTAAAGAAAATAACATATTTTCTTCTCCACGTACAGTAAGTTACGTTGCATGCAAATATAATATACCTGAGTATACAAGCGAGCGTTCCAATCATAGTTGTCACTCAAGTTACACTTGAGAAGGTCCCCTCTAGTAGGGGCCACATTTGGATTTCCTCTCCAATAAGCGTAAGGCTCCCTGTCCTTCCATTTCCTTCTTTTGTTTCCTTGTTTGATGTCCTCCAACACATTCTTCCATGGCCTTATGTTGGTTTCCGCCCTTCATGCCACCAAACAATACATACTGGAAAACATTACCCCTAGTTACGACACTAGCTAGCTAGCTACTTTTTGTATAATTTTACAATATTTTCATTCAACTACCATAGTCTTAATAAGTACGTCATTTGATCTAGGATCCGAGCAACAAATTTATCATTCAAATACCATCGACTATCTCATAACTACTCCTCCAAAATCATATAAAAATGTGTCCAAAAGATAACGTACAATAATATTGATGATATTTTAATCCGCCAATAACTGCAAAACTTTTTAAAAAATAATAATTTATTAAAGCCAAAACTGTAAAAAACGCAAAATTATGAAGTATTTCATATGGGGCATGTTATCTCCTACGCTCAATTTTATCATAAGTTTATTATGTGCATTAAAAAAATATGTTATGCCAGATTTTATTTCCCACATCCAATTTTTCTATAAACTCTTTATTATGTACATTATACAAAAGTTTTGTAATGTCAGTTTTTATTCTGTATACCCAATTTTACTTCAAACTCTTTATTACGTGCATTAGACAAAAAATTTGTTCGATCAGATTTTATCCCCGACACCCAATTTTAACCTAAACTCTTTATTATTTGCATTACACAAAAGTCCATTTGTTAGTCCATTAACAAAAAGGTTTTGTAATAAGGTTTGGTGGTACTATTCATAAAAGGTCTATATCCCCTACACCAAATTTTATCATAAATAAACTCTTTATTATGTGCATTATGTAATAGTTTGTACGGTTAGTTTTTATCCTCTACGCTAATCTCTTTATTAGGTGCATTATGCAATGTCTGTTAGGTCAGATTTTATCTTCTACACTCAATTTTACCATAAGATCTTTATTATTTGCATTATACAAAAGTGTCTTTGATTGTGCTTGCACAAAGTTTTGTAAGGAATATAAATTTTTTACTTACCATTTTAATCAAATATGATTTAATCATTGTTCATTATTAGACCACATATATGAAATATGCGCGTGACACTATTCTATTATACTTACGATAAATTACAAACCCATTATGAAATGTTTATGGAGGGATAACTATTTTTTATTTATCTATTCACCATGTCATCAACTAGATTTGATTCATTATTAATTAAAATATTATATAACTTGAATTTATTATTAGACCACACATTAAGTATAGATTTACGTAATAACGTTCTATTTCAAGATATGTAAATTATAAATATATTACGTAAAACTTATAGAGGGATAGTTAGTCTTGAGGAATGAGTAAAAAAAATATTTGGCATATGTCTATCTTAAAGATTAAGATATTACATAAAAGTAGTAGAGATATCTTAAGATAAAATTGTAATGAAGGATTTGGTTTCAACTAAATTAGTAAATAAAAAAATTATTTAGGATTATAAATAGTTAAATACCACCGGAAAGTAGTAACAAAAAATTTGTTTATATAGTTTTTATAAGGCCATGGTATACCATATAATAGGATTATAATATAATGGGATGCGAGGCGTAGTTACCATCCCCAAAATGACCAGTCCGGAAACACAAGGTCCAAGCTGGCTCCATCGGAGCAGTAGCGGAAGAGCGGCGGCGGTCCGGAATTAGGGCGCGGGAAGTCCTTAGCGAGGACCCTGGGGCGGTCATCGCAGTCGAACAAGAGCTCGAGATCGGGCAGGCTGCCCGGGTAGAGCCGCAGGAGCTGGAGGATCCCCCACTGGGTGTACACGTCTCTGGTCTGAATGGCTGGCCGGTACTTGTCCACGTACACCCTCCCGCCGACGATCACCAGCCGGAAATCCGCCTTCCTCCGCCCGCGTTCCACCATCTCCCTCGTGATTCCGCTCTCCTTCCAGTGCCGGAGGTCCTCGTGGATCCACCGGAAGTAGGACGGGCAGCTCCGGTTCCACGCCTGCGTTGCCTTATTCTGCCTTGTCGGGTAGTCGGCAGTCGGAGATGGGCATCGGAGGAGGAACTCCTCCTGCCGCCTGCTGGTTTTCACTAGTGAGATGGAGACGACGCCGGACTGAAAATTAAATAAATGACGATGTTGCGCGCAATTAAACCTACGTTTCCAAGACTTATTAACATTCAATATATATGACCTAGCAACTAAACTGAAAATGACATACTATTTCAACATTTATTTGTTGCTAATTTATATATGTATTTAGGGATAATTATTATTATTATTATACTTGTTTGAATAGGGCCGGGGTGATATAATGTAGATGCTGTTTAACAGATTCTGTCTGACACCTCCAATTTAAATAGTACCACTAGATTATATCAAACTCTTGCATGCGCACAACAACAATAATTATAATTCTGGCTGTGCAGTACGTAAAACAATTAGGCTGGCATTAAAATGGAGTTAATTCTTGTGAAGAATAAGATAGAGGCTTAATTACCAAGTTGAGAAAACCAACAAAGAGTAGGAAGCCGAAGAGGAGGAAGAAGACAAAAAAGATCAAGGAGCAATATCGGCTGTTGCTTATTAGTCCTCGGGAAGAGTACTGTTTGGGCATACTTTTGTACCTCGTCGTCATCATTCGAAACGCTAGCTTAAATTAAGCTAATTGCTTGCTGCTAGCTGGTGTTATGCAGCCATACCCTTTCACATGGACCACTTCCAATGCTGCAGATTTCCTAGCCATACATATATATTATATAGTATGTAGGTTAGCATTAGCAAGCTTCATTCGGTTTCACATTTCAGCTGCTTCGGCTAACCTGTCTAATTAAGCATATATAGTTCACGTTAGCACTACATTTTATGGTAACCGTTCGGCTGGTTTTGAGTTATCACTTTTCTTTATAAGCGTTTCTTTTATTTATAAACGAGTTTTCAGTTTTATTAGCCTTTATGTTTCTTTACAAGTAATTAATGTTGGGTTTAGAATTCACTTTAATTAGCTCATCGGTTCTCATTTGGATGAATTAGATATGTTTTAGATGCTTAATTTTGTTTTTATTGGGGAAGAAAAGTCTGTTGTGGACCTGTGCTTACAGTTTTGATTACCCCAACAAGCTATACATACATTGGTTGGCAATCTGTCTTTGTTTGGCTATCGATGAGTTGACTTGCATTGATACATGAACTTAAAGAAAATCCTAAATCCACTCGTATAATTTTTTTTTTTTTAAGGATGATATACCTAGATTTATTTTTATAGTTAGGTTTGGGCCGGGGGTGATAAACGGTTGTTGGTTATTCGGTTAACCGCCTAACCAAACCTGAAAGCTCTGTGTTATTCGGCTAACCAATAACCGTTATCTATAGTTAGTTGTCAGTGTTTTTGAATAAATAGAGTAGATCAGGTAACTGGTTCGTAATCGGTTAATAACTGACGAGGAGTCGGTGAACCGCAAAAACTCATCCAGCTAGCCCACCTGACCCGCCACTCTACACGATGTCGTCCTCCACTCCACACGACGTCCTCCTTTCTTTCTCTCAACCACGACTCACTCCATCCCCAATACCAACTGCTCCTTCATTGACGACCAACGGAACGCCATCCCTCCTCCATTGCACCGCCAGCCTTGTTGCCACTCTGTCCTCGACTCGATCCTCATCCCTCCACTCTTCGTATAACCTCACACTAAACACAAACCTCCCTCGCGGTAATTGATATTGCATAGTAAATACTGTGTTAAAAGGTGTACATCCTGTCTCTAAATAATTTTTTGTTAGTTTTGTCTTCAAATCATTAGCATTAGACACGCCCTCACGTGATTAGAAGATAGAAACTATCACGGACAGCTATATCGTGATTAGTTATGACTAGTACATATTTCGCATGGCCTTTACATTTAGACCCGGAGCTTTATATTACGATAATTCTCGGTGAATAAAACTATTAAGCATGGGATACACTTTCAAACATGAAATTTCCCATAATTAAAGAGGGTATTTACTATAAAGAACCATAGAGCAATTTGCAGGTTCAGGACTATAAATAGCTGGAAGTGGTAAGATGATCTAATTCTCTATCAACCATCAAAGAAATTATCCTTACACACCAAAGATTATGCTTGAACTCAGGTACAAGCACGACAGAGAGTAAATCTCTCATTCAAACAGACCGATCATGTCCCATTCACAGGTACACTCTCCCATTCGGTATATGCACAACGGCAAAATCAATTTATGAATCTAGTTAATCTAACCAACTACTATCTCGCACGATGTGCTCATTACATCCCGAATCAATCATTCAATTAGATAAATAAGAGAACAACCATATTTGCTTCTAGATTGCTCTACAATGAGGATTTTGACGAATCTACAAGAAGTTGCTTCAACTGATCAAACTGTGCTGCCAAGAGACCTGAGAAGAAGTTTGCCTCAGGCCCGACGTGGGCCACTCGTGGTTGTCCATCAGTGCGCTACTGTCTTTGCTTATTCGAACGCTCACCCTATCCAGACTTTGGAAGGTTAGGAGGATATCCATGGAATTTGTAACAAGTATCGATTGTTTGTCCCAGCTTATGACAGTGGGTACCTCGAGGCTTGTCTCTTGATCACGTTCCAAACATGCCTACTCACCATTTGTCAAGAACATCGCTGCCTCTACAACGGGTCGGCGACCAGTTGTGATTTTGTGTTGCTGTTCTTCAGTAGAAACAGCTTGATATGCATCATCCAATGTAGGAGTAGGCTTCATGCTTAACAATTGCATGTGCACGACAAAAAAAGGCGTCATCTAATCTCATGAGAAATTCGAAATGATGCTCTCTCAGCTTTCTCGTGCTACTGCCGCGGCAAATCGCACTTGCAGCCTCCACAGGTACAACCATCACACCTACAATGAGGTTCAGGGCTGACAACCTGCATCTCGTCCCAGAGTCAATCAAAGATAAAAAAAAACCGTTATTTACGCACTAATTGGGCAGTTCGTATTTTTAATATCCTTTTTAATGATTTTAAAAATTGGACGTGAAAGTTTCCTCTCATCCGGCTCAAGCAGTTACACCAAAGAAAGATAAAGAAAAGGGTTCCCACTTTCAAAATCGAAAAAAAAAAAAGAAAGAGCTACTCCTTACTCAAGTTTCCAATCCGTACATGCACCTTTTAAATGCATACGGTTCAAAAAATCGCGAAAACAAAAAATAAGAATCAATGTGTAGCCTCTAACCCTCCCTTTTTCTTGTTTTTTCTTGATAGTAAGTACTCTTTAACTTCTCTTCTAACGAAGGGGTTTTTCTTCCATTTTTCAAGAAAGATGAGTTTTGCCCCGTTTAGCCATAAAAAAATTTTACTAAACTTCTCAAACTAGCTTCTCATTGATTGAGTCTTTCATCGAGATCCGAGTGAAATAAAACAAGAGATCTAAAGAATAAGAGGGGCTAAACTATATTAGTAACAAGTAAATCCTTGGGCAATGTCTATTTTTTACCCAAATCTTTTTCAGATTCTTTTATTTTAACCAAACCTATAGAAATTCTATTTATTATCCAAACGTATTATAATTTATCAAAGTCTGGGCATTCCTTCTGTTACCGTTACTTATTTTGTCCACGTGAGAGGTGGGATTTTGTTTTGTTTTTTGATAATCTTTTTATTAAAAATAGTAAATGATGATATTCTGACCGCCACGTAGGAAGTCAACTCATTATGGTCATACTTAGTCAGCATTACTAACAGAAAAGTTGACGGAGAATTAACGTTCGGATAATTTTTAGGAATTCAATAAGTTTGCTTAAAATAAAAGAATCTGAAAAAGGTTTGGGTAAAAAATAGACATTGCCCTAAATCCTTTGTATGAAAAAAGTCTTGATATTTTTTTTTAGATTTGGAGATAAGGGCTAATTGAAAGGTCCGAGACGACCCAAAAAGCACTTGGTCATGATCCCCTTTGTGGGCCTACTTGGGTATGGAGCATTTACTTGTAAAAATCGAATTCCTTACAATGGATAATTGAAACTCTGGAAAAAGATCTAGAATTTTTGAATAGTTGTGCCGGCTAATAATAATAAAATCTTAAATAAATAAAAATAGATATTTCATAAATTTCACAATATCATTGTTTTTTTTTACAAAAATTACTAGTTTCTATATTCAAAAAGGTTTATAAAATACATTCATCGCTTATATTGCAAATAAAAAAATTATATACATAACTAAACAATTAGTCATAAATTAGACATTCAACTTATTATAAAGGTCATCTTTAATTAACTTTATAACAAAAAAGACCTATTAGTAGCTTGCAGTTGCAACGAGCAAAGTTGGTATTAAGTTCAAAAGCAAATTAACCAAAGGATAATAAGTATACTATCATCTCCACCATTCTTCTAGGCTACCCGATTAATTTATTGCAATTTATTGGAGCATTTGTCTTTCCTTGAGAATGAGATATAATTTTTTTTTAAAGTAGTGGGAGAAAGATCGTTTATTCTTAAATTGAAATTCATTTTCCTTTGTTTAATAAAGGGCGGGGACTGAAACGCCATGTTCAAAATAAAGGGTTGTCGGCTTTCAAGATAAACTAAAATTTTCAGCCGAAGGTGTGTCGGCCCACACACCTTGGCTCTACTTGGGACCTCCCTCAGAATAATGAAAGAACAATGGCGAGTGCAACGAGATTGCTTCGGCACTGGCATTAGTGTCGGATGACATCCTTGTCTTCTCTTTGTCCTTCGCCATCACAAAAGAAGCGCAAGAAAATCCCTTGAGCGAAGCGAGCTTTGATACCATGTAGAATAGTTTGAATACGGAAGCAAAAGATATACACGACGCAATGATTTAGGTGTTTCTTGTCATCTGGGGTGTGGAGAAACGTTGTGGAGCTTTTATTATGTTTTAAAATTATATAACCATAAACGTACCCTTTGGGTTATGTTCATGACAGCCGACGACCTGTTTACACCTAAAATTAATTTGGATTAATTAAATGTCGTACTAATGAGTCTCGGCATTTAATTCGATGCCGCATGATACAAAACAGTGTCGTTTGGAATCGAGCAATGTCGCGGAGAGTGTAAACGACACCGCAAGGAAGCTCGCCGACATTGCGGTATTTGAAACGACATTATTTACTAGAAAACAATTGTTGTGAGACAAGGGCCGCAAGATTGGTGTTGTTGTTAGAAAAGGAGTGTGTTTTTATTCCTTATCAGAGAAGGAGAGTGAAAAGACACCGCGTAGAGACAAGCGGCATCGCGGATGGGTAAAACGATACCGCGAAACAGAAAAACGGTACCGCAAGGAAGCTCAGCGGTACCGCGGCACTGGAAACAACACTTTTAACGGAAAATAAGAGGTGGGTCGCGCGTTTAGTAGTGGTCTTGGAAAAAAGAGTTTTTTATTTATTATTTATTAGTTTTATTTCTTGTCGAAAGGAGAAAAAATGGTACCGCAAGTGAACCCAACAACACCGTGGATTAGAAAACGACAGTGTTTAATATAAAACAATTTCGTGGAGTAAAAAAGCAAACAGAGGTGTTTGGGGAAGAAAACGACATCGAGTGAGATTCACACCAACCCGAGCGAGGAGGAGATCAAGACGGTTGAGACACGTGGGAGTTCACAACGGAGCAGTTGAGGAAGCGGTTCCACCTAGCGTGAAGACTACAAAGCGGTTTTTCGAATAAAAGCAGCGGAGCAAGGAGAGAGAGGGGACAACCAAATCAACACAGAACCACTCTATCAAAACTTTACCTTTTCTTTGTAACTCCTTCGCGGAGCTCTCCTTCCAGGAAGGATCTCAATAGTCATTGTTGTAGCGTAGTCGCGGAGCTCTCCACAGGAATCTCCATAGGAGTAATCGTAACGTAGATTCCTCAAAAACTCAAACACCCTCGTTCGAACGTAGTTTGGAGAGGTGCAAACCGTAGTAACGGTCGCGTTGGTTAGAAGTCAGAGGTGCATCGATGAAATCAACATCGCACAACGGTGGATATTTGACGATTGTCATCGTTTTCAGAAGTCAGTTGCACCGATCAAATCAACACCGCCCGGTGGATATTTGACGGTCGTCTCGTTTTCAACAAGCAGTGGTGCATCCGATCAAACGGCACCGCAAGGATTTTCACAGCGAAACATCGAATCAACATCGCCGGAACCAAATTCGGCACCGACGGTGGTATTTGATTTTCCCGGGGAAACACGACCTAAAGTCAATTCCATACCCAGGACAGGAACAGGATTAGATGCAAAAAGAAGAATGTAGATAAATTAATAATAGAAATCATAGGATGGAACGGTAGGCACATCACATGTAGGTTTAACGTGTGGTGACATGGCATGTTCTCGTGAAGCAGAGCGTGCGTGCATGTTCCAACACTCCTTCATCAGCTGGCAGGACATGCAATAGCTACAGCTACAGCTAGCGAGAGTTATTATAAAGGGTGGCCTGGCATTGGCATTGGCATGCAGCAGCAGCTTGGTATATTAATCTACCTAGATAGCTTAGCTTCCGATCGAGTATGGGTAAACAGTACTACTCATCTTCCCGGCCAAGCAACAGCAGACGACATTACTCATCAACCACTGCTCTAATCCTTTTCGTCTTCTTCGTCCTTGTTGGCCTCCTCCTCTTTGTTGGTGTTTTCGACTCCGTAAGTCCATTATATTTTCTCAACATAACAACCAGCTTGACTTGATGGCTGATGCATGTGTACCAAGAAATTGAATAGATGCTATTAATTAATTAATTAATTAATTATATATAGTTTGGCCGGTTGGATTAATTATTGGTCGTCTGTCTGTCTGTCTGTGCAGTCGTCCGCCGTCAGCTCCATCTGGCACAGCGGCCGGCTGCAGGAGGAGTTCCCTCTCCGATGCCCATCTCGGGGGAGCACCGCCGCAACCAGCAATAGTTACTACCCAACGAGGAGGAGGCACAAGCCTGCAGCGAACGTGAGCTGTCCGGCCTACTTCCGGTGGATCCACGAGGACCTCCGGCAGTGGAAAGGGAGCGGGATCACGAGAGAGATGGTGGAGGGCGGGCGGAGGAGCGCGCACTTCCGGCTGGTGATCGTGGAGGGGAGGGCGTACGTGGACAAGTACCGAACTGCCCTCCAGACCCGAGATGTGTACACTCTCTGGGGGATCCTCCAGCTCCTGCGCTGGTACCCGGGCAGGCTGCCCGATCTCGAGCTCTTGTTCGACTGCGACGACCGCCCCGTGGTCCGCCGCCGCCGCCCCAACTCCGGACCCCCGCCGCCGCCGCTCTTCCGCTACTGCTCCGATGGGGCCAGCTTGGACATTGTGTTTCCGGACTGGTCCTTTTGGGGATGGTACGTATAAATTCAATATTTATTTATTTAATTAGTAAATACCTACCTACTTGCTACTGTTTTGTTTGGTGGTGGCAGGGTGGAGACGAACATAAGGCCATGGAAGAATGTGTTGGAGGACATCCAACAAGGCAACAACAGACTGAAATGGAAGGACAGGGCGCCTTACGCATACTGGAGAGGCAATCCCACTGTGGCCCCGACTAGAAAGGATCTTCTCAACTGCAACTTCACCCATTATTGGAAAACTACTACTCGCCTCTACACTCAGGTCGGTCTTTCTCAATACTCTTCATTTTAACACTCAATTCTAAATCATTAATATTTCCAATTATATGCTTACTCCAATTCTAACTACATTGTGATTCTTAATTCAGGATTGGAAAGTAGAATCTGCCCAGGGATACCGGCAGTCAAAACTTCAAGACCAGTGTACCCACAAGTAACCATTTTTCCCCGCACCATTACCAATCCTATAAATCAAGCAAATTTTAGTAAAATATAATTATATTCAGATCACTAGCTATTATTTTTACACGCCATTTTTCTTTGTGATCACGTAATATTAAATTTCGCTATCAAACATTCTGCATGCAATAGCTAATTACCTAGGCGTCCTGAACGAATAATAATTAATTGAGTGTAGGTACAAGATATATATACAAGGATGGGCTTGGTCCGTGAGCGAGAAGTACATATTGGCATGCAACTCCATGGTTCTATACGTGAGATCAGCATACCATGATTTCTTCAGTAGAGGCATGTCCCCATTGCAGCACTATTGGCCTATTCGTGACAACACCAAGTGTTCTTCTCTCAAATACGCCGTAGAGTGGGGCAATAACCACACTCAAGAGGTCAGTCAACATGACATTCCTTTCTCGATCCATCATTACTCATGTAATATTTATGCAATTGGATTCTAAAATTATTCTCATTCTGAAAACTAGTTAATGGGTCCAGGAAGGTTTAGCAATAATGTAGCTTATATATAATGCACATCAGGCACAAAGTATCGGGGAAGCAGGGAGCAGGTACGTTTTCCAGGAGATGAAGATGGAGTTTGTGTATGACTACATGTTTCATCTGCTAACTGAATATGCCAAGTTGTTGAGGTTTAAGCCAACGGTGCCGCCGGGGGCCGTGGAGGTGTCCCCTGAAACAATGGCGTGCCACCAAAATGGGACGTACAGGAAGTTCATGATGGAGTCGCTGGTGAGGTCTCCTTCTGATTCCGTTCCTTGCAACTTGCCACCTGCCTTTGATTCCAATGAGCTTCGAGACTTTTGGGATGGGAACGACAAGTCAATTAAGAGAGTTGAAGCTTGGGAAGATGAATACTGGAGAACCCATCCAAAACCAAATTTAGGGTCATAATTAAATTACCTTTCCCGACCTCGATCTTGAAGTTTTATGATGTCTGTTCTCTCAATTCTTTTTTTTTTTTTTTTACCTCTTTTAGTGAATCACAGAACTTCTCTTGATTTCCCCTTTCTCCCTAAGCTCCTATTATTTTTCCATTTTGAAGGGCAAAAATAACAATGGTGTTGTTAGAATGTCTGTCATCTTTTTTTTTTTTTTCAAGAAAAATGTAGTAGCGTGATCAAGAACCTGACCTCTAGAGGTCGTTTGGATGAGTTTATTGGCAATGTGGTATTTGTAGGTCCAAATAATTCACTTTTTCTATATGTGGTATTTGTGTGTTATTTGAGAAAATTGGAAGTTAAATTATCTTGTTTGGATGAATGAAACCAATGAGTTATTTCACATGTAGTATTTGTAACATAAAGTAGTAAAATACCATAATGCCCTAAGTTTAATTAGCTTCCTACTTGGTAAGAAAGGACATGAACAAAGCAACCTTTGTTACTAATATTTCCACTAAATTAAAAGAAGATCAAATATGCCACCCGTTACATATAAATAATATTTCCATTCACTAATCATAGATAAGCTGGCTGAGTGATTTCGGCGGCTTTTTTCTCTCATGGATGTCCCTTTTTGGAACCGCAACCTATTCATGGATGTCCGCCTTAATTTATTTTGGTTGTCGATTACGTTTCCCCAGTCTTAGTAGCTCGCTCGGGCAAAGGTTTGTTATTGCTTGGCTTTCTTGCCTACGTTCGCGTTGGGTTGATTTACTAAGAAGAAGATAGTGTTTGTTTTCCTCAGACCCCACCCATCTACGAGGAGTTTGGGGGATTTGCAGCGGCACAAGGAGAGGCGGCCAAGGAGAGTTACAGAAGGCGGAGGCGGTGTAAAGCTTCGATAGAGTTTTCGTGAGGTACAAGAGAACTAATAGTTGGGTTGGGGGACTCTGGGTTCACGGAAATTCGAGGGTTGAAACTTGGTGGTTCCGCTCAGATACGATACGAGTAAGGTCGTGTTTGTCTTGCTCCAAGTCCAACCCAACCCTGTGTAATTTTCTTTTCAATTGGGAATTGGATTCACCGCCTCCAACAATCGATTTTGTGGTCAATAGTCAACGTCAAACACTCATCCAACAGGGTGGTAGCCTGAGCCTATAACCTCTTCTCCTCATCTTGCAGATTGTTAGGGCGTTCAATTTGTTTTCGAACCTCAATTCAATTCTTACCGTTGTGGTGTACAAAGTGGTTCAGTTTTGTTCAAATTACCACATGTCACGCTAATCCCCCAATCCATCTCTGTGCATAATCAAATCTTGGACCTGATAGGTAATCCTTTACTTCTTGATGGAGCTTGGTATCCTGTTCATCTGGAACCTTCGAGAGATAGAAGCTAATTTGAATGTGCGTGGGGCTTCAACCCAAAAGAACAAAGAAAAGGGTACCGAAAAGAAACAGCTTTTCGAGTCTTCTTAACAAATAATGTGGAATCTTATTATAATGACTCTCTCATGCAGAATCTTCCCTTGGATGTGATAGGTAGTCCTTTGCTTCTCACTACGGGAAAAAGGGGTTCTTGCAACACTTGGATTGCAACACTATTTGAAAGTGTTGTGTTAACTATATAATGACAACACTTTATTTTTAGGTTGCGTATTAGACGGTTTACGCAACTCAAATTGGTTATATGTTGCATTTTCTCTATTATACGCAACACTCATATCATCAACTATTTATTGGTTGTCTATTTATATAGTTTAGACAACATTTCAACCTAATGGGTTGCAAAAAATTCACTTAACAATTCGTATTTTTATTATTCTTTATATATAAATATCTTGCTAATATAAAGAAACTAAAAAGAGATAAATCCCATAAATAGGGAAGCAGAATATCCTATGTGATTACGTTTTCCTTTATCTCTTAATTATCTAATACATTTGTTTTCTTATACAGGTAAAGCAATTAAGCACGTCCCTTCCTTTTTTTTTATCAAGCACGTCCCTTCCTATTCTTCTTCTAATTGATATTATACAAGCCCACGCCTTTTCTTTCCCACGCCGCCAAAGGAAGAAACCCTCGCCGATTACAAAAGTGAAAAGCCTTTGTCTTTCAGTCTACCACCATAAGGAAAACCCAATCAGCCTCCGTTCCTCTTCTCTTTTGTGGATCCCAACAGATCTACGAGGAATCCCAATCGCCCATCTCACCGATCGACAAGCTCATCGCATCAACCTGTGTCTCTCCTCTTGTATGATCGCCAGGGTACAATGATTCATCAATTGGTTTCTCTCTTCTCACGTTTTGGTATATATGTCTAGATTAATACAATTTTTGGGTTTTGATTTGAAGCCCTCACTAATAGGTATGCCACGTCAACAATATAAGGTAATTAATAAGTAATAACCCCCTCCTTACAGTAGTATGATTACCACTTACCAGTATGGTTCTTTCTATTTGATATCCTGTAAGACAACTATTGAACATTTATGTTTGATCTGCTGAAAATGAAAATGATTGCAGGTACTAAAGGTATCAGAGGATAAGATTGAGAGAATGGTGAGGAAGGATTCAAGAGAACCGGGGGAGAAGTTTGGCTCATTGCACCGCAGGAGGGATCCCATGAATACAAGGATATTGAGTAACAAGAAATGGATATAATATGTATCTAACCTTGAAGTAAAGCCTTTGGTAGAACCTGTTATCAATGTTTAGTATTGTTAGTAGCAAGATTGGAGTTTAATAATAATATTTTTCTGATATGTCATGTTGTCACCGTTGATGTTTTTTTGTGATGAAATTTTTTCACAAAATGTTTCTGTTATGACCAACTAAAATCATCAGATATAAATGTTGCATACGTGACAATAAGATTCATCACTAATAGTTACTTCAGTGATAATCGACCCGACCCCTATACCATAGCTTCAATCTTGTTAAGTGTATTTGCGACATAACTTTGGTAACAAATTACAATTATTTGTGACAATTAAACATGTCAATATTGTAGTTTTGTGTGGACACTCACTTGTCACCAAAACGATCTATATTAACGACAATATGGTCATGAATGTATTAGCATCTGTTACGAACAAAATTGTCACGGTTGAATTTATCGTTTATGACGATTTAGACTCATCATGGATAAAATTTTGATGTTGCAAAAACTTGTAGAAAATGTTGCCTATATTTCTAAAACTTGTTGCAAAAATTATAAAATGTGTTGCCTATAATGGTGTTGCGTAAGGGGTAAGTATATGCAACCCTTTTTATTTTGGTTACGAAAAATGAAAAAACAGTTGCATATTCCTTTTGCAACCCCCACTATATGCAACCCTAACAAAAGTGTTGCGTTAGGATTTTGTAACTCTTTTTTTACTTTCTGCAACACATTTATGAGGGTTGCAAGAAGCTATTTTTCCCGTAGTGTCTTTAGTAGCATGGTAGTTATGTGACTCGTCCCGAATATCACAACAAAATTCCACATAAGGCCCAAGTATAAACCTTAGATGGGTGCAATATAGGGCAAGTATGTTTAAATATAAACTCGGATCGGTCCATGTACCACTACTTCCATTGTTTGAAACATTATCTAGCGGATTGATTTTTTGTTGAAAACTATGAGGTTTAAATCAAAGCAAAGCAAAAGGTAAATGGTTTGAAAGCTCGAGATGAGAAGGATCACTCGGGTGTCGCTTCCCCCTAACTACTACCGTACCACATGGACTCGAATGGGACATTACGAGCAAGGCAATCATGAATCGCTAGGAGGTGCAACAATGGTCGAAGACCACACTCTCAATTCCCAAACCAAGGGATACATTACAGGCTACCAGAGTAGCCCTCTTGCAATTGAGGGTTGACTTACCTTCTCCCTCAAATCGATGGTTAAACGGCTTAATCACGATTAACCTAGAGTTCACGGAATGGTTGTCATCACTAACTTGTCCGGAGGTCTTAGACACGGGTTCAAATTGTAACACCTCGACATTTGAGTTCAGGTTCGATCATAATAAATAAACGATTGGATAGACGGTTACGTACGAAGGATTTCGGATTAGGAATAATAATAACTATAATTATTATTTATTATTATGATTAAAAAATAAAAAAAGGGGAAGCACAAAGGAAACACCCCCCCCCCCCCCCCCCACCCATCTGTACGCCATTCCATATCTTCCTCTCTCTATGTTACCCCAATTAATCCCCACCCTCCCAATGGAGAGCCAACGGGAAACACCACCTCCAACTCAACCCATCACACTATTTCATCAGTAGTTTCTTCCACAAAACAAGTATGAGTTGGCATAATAAAGAAGCATGCAGTACTTGCAGTTGTAAAGAAGTGTCGGTGCAAGCTTAAATAAACTCCCCCTTCCATGGAATGATACCATTTCTCCACCCGGCCATACAACACCATTATCGCTTCATCCATCTCCCCATTACCACTACTGCTTCCCCAGCCCACCTTCTCGCCAATCATTATCATCAACCTTCCATCCGTAAAAAAAACACGACCGCCAAAAGCTTCTCACTGTCGCCATCTTTGTTGTTGCCGGAGAAGAGCTACACCGCCAGCATCTACATTTTTTTTTATATCTTCCACTCTCTTAGCCAGTAGGTAAGATGACGAACTTATATGGCTGACTAACTAAGGTCTTTCTTGCGCCGTAGCTTCGTCGGGGAAGGAGCGGAGTGATCGAATGTCAATCTAAAAGAGGAACAGAGATCCTACTGACTAGGAACTAGCTCTAGACACGCCCAAGAGGTAAGGAAACCCGGTCGCTTACGTTATTTTCGACGTTTATGTGAATTATACGAGTTTGCACAAATCTGAGAATTTAGTGACGAAAATTATGGTCTCTTAGTGACGGAACTGACTCTGTCGCTAAGGATTTCTGGGCAACTGTTCAGTTTAGTCCCCCCAAATTGTTCAATATGTACAGATTAGTCTTTCAGAGTTTTAAGCTTTGACAAATTGGCTCGAAAATTGTATTTTTCATGGATATA